AGTGAGTGGACCTGAGTGAGAACTCCTTGAGTCCTCAGGACATAACAGTACCATTTGTAGTTACCTATGGATTTCACAGTAACTAATCTATGAAAATTCTTACAGGATGTTCTCCATGTTTCAAATGTCTCCCCAGGCCAAAATTTGCCGTGTTCCTAATCAGAAGGATTTTACTGGCCTTTTCTGAAGCATTTTCTTTTACAGGTTCTGTTGCCAAATCATCAGATTGCACAAGGAATCCTAAAACCAATTGCAAACTTTGCACTGAGGGTAAAGATTATATGGATAAAGACAATTATATGTCTACTTGCCTACGATGTAATTACTGTGATGCAGAACATGGTATGTATGATCAACAATATGTTATTTCGATCTCAATGTATTTCACACAAGAGAAAAGGATATTTAGTTCATTTGGCCCTCACAAGCTGCCAATATCTGTGAACACCAACAGCAAAATAGATTGTTCTGAATACAACTTAAAAACCTGTAAGCATGTTTGTGTCAGTGGTGGGATTCAAAATAATTTTATCACCGGTTCTGTAGGTGTGGCAGGGGAAGGATACTGCAAAATCCCCATTCCCTCCCTACCCCATTAACCTACTTTCCAGCTCCGTTCTCCTGTCTGGGGCAACAAAAGAAGACCCAGCCAATCATCTGGGACTCAGGAGGCAGAGAATAGATGGGGGCGGGGCCAGTCAGAGGTGGTATTTGCCGGTTCTCCAAACTATTCAAAATATCCACTACAGGTTCTCCAGAACTGGTCAGAACCTGCTGAATACCACCTCTGGTTTGTGTACTGATGTATGATAGCTGGAAAGAAATACAGTCTGATGTTTGGTGCAGACTTTAGCATTTTTTAAAAACCTGACAATCCCAGAATTGGAGACCAATTTGAAAACCACTTTGTTCAAGCCCTGGTTTGATGCAGGAAGTACAGAGTTAAAGGACCTTCATGAGATATTTTTCCAAACACACAGGCATGTTTTCAAGTCGAGATTGGCTTTGTGGATGACATGTTTTGGATTTAAGAGTTTCTCTGAATGTTCAGTCAAACATCTATTACATTTTACACAGCCAGTGGATGTGCAAAGAATAACCTTATGTCTTTTGTTTGAAATTCTTTCATGAATTTGAAGAAGAGTATTATTTTCCTTGAGAGGGTGCGTGGTCTTCAAAGCTTGGCAGGCATTTAAAAATGGTTTTTTTTAAAAAAAAATATTTGAATAACAAAATATTTCCATTTATTTTAGGGATGGAAACTGAAAAAAACTGTACCATCACCCAGAATGTACAATGTAGGTGTAGGATTGGTTTCTTTTGCAATTCTCCTAAGCCGTGCCGCCACTGTGAGAAATGTGATCAGTAAGTACACCTACGAAGTGTGACAAAACTAGATACTCATATATTTCAGTTCAGATGTGACAATTTATCTCTGTTCAACCTACCTGAAGGTTCACCTCTTGTTTTGCTTATTGCAAACAAGAAGTCCTAGAAAGATTTCTTATTGCAGAACTCAGAAATCAATCTGATAGATCACGGGTGTCAAACTCACCACGTCACGTATGATGACTTTTTTTCCCCTCTGGCAGAGCTGGGGTGGGTATGGCATGTGTGTGATACATCTGGCCTGTGTGCCACCAATTTGACACCCCGTGATAGATGGACATGTCACATCCACATAACACTCACACATATTCCATAATTGTGTGTCTCCCCCCAGGATTTAATCTCTAAACCATTTCTTTTCCCCTTTCTGAGTCAATGGAAATTTGGCTATTCTCTATCAGGCTTTGATATTGGGAAGAATCTGTTCAATCAGGTGAGGATAGTAAGGATCTTATTCAATCAGGAAGAGGTAGGTAGGAATACCAGAGGAAATCTATAAGCTTCCGAAGAGATGGAGATCTTCTTCATCCCTTGCATTTCTCAGGCTGAAGGAGGGAGGGCTATGAAACCTGAAAATATTTGGGAGGGAGGGGCAGGAAGCACCAGTAGACAAGGAAATGGAAATGTGGAGGATGACCTCTAGCTGCCTGTAATCATTAGAGGAAGAAAAGGGAAATAGTAAGGAAACTCAAGCAGATGCCTCAAAGATGCTTTTTCAAAAGGCACTGGGCGGTGTTTTTCTTTTCCTTTAGGAAGAAGATGTTTCGCTTCTCATCCAAGAAGCTTCATTGGTTCTGGCAAAATGGTGAGGGAAGGATTAGTTGGAATCTTCCTGGAACTGCTGAAAGGACTGTGTGGTAGACAGGAGATAGGTAGTGTTTTATGCCTTCTCCTGTTGAGAGAGGGCTGCTTCCAATCCTTCCAGCAGTTTCAAAAGATTCCACCCCCATTTGCACTCTGATATAAGTGACCTTGAGTGCACGGATAAATCCCCAAGTGGCCTCAAGAGCTCTCAGCTAATGTGTCAGTATTCCAGAAAAACTCCACTCTAACAGATAACTCCGAACCAGACATTTTCTCAAAGTTCCCTTTTATTAGAGTAATAAACTGGCACATCTGGGAAATCCCAAATCTGAAAGTCCCGGGTTTCCCTCCAATAAATAAAATATTACAAATCCACCCCCTGCATTCCTCATTGCATTCACATGCCCCAATCACCATCCTTCCCAACTTGAGACGTCCCTTCTACTACTCCTCAGCCAGGTGCAGGAACTACATGACCTTGATTCTAAAGAAGAATGCTATTATTGTATCTAACCACATACATTCCATGAAATTCCCCCCTCCCATCTTCCCACGCTCAAGAAGATGGCAGCGTGGAAGCTTCTGGTGCTAATATGCCTTCCAAAGCTGACATAATGACCAGATGACTGCAAAGAAACATGATCCTTCTAACTCCACCCCATCCATCCTTCCATCACCCCCACCATCGCGCCAGAACTGATGAAATTTCTTGGATGAGAAGCAAAACATTTTCTTTTTCCTCAAGGAAAAACACAGTCCAGTTGCCTTTTGAAAAAGCATCGTTGAGACAACTATGACCTGGATGACTGAGAATCTCCACAGACTGAAGCAGATGGGTGAGGGATTTTGATATCCACACATTTAGCACAATTATTCAGACTTCCAAAAAAGCTGAACAAGTATTTGTAGAACCAGGCCCCACACTTCTGGCCTTTGCAGTATTTCCATAGTCATATGATAAAAAAAAAATTATATCAAGAAATCAGAACTTGAACAAAATTAAATGTTTGAAGCATTAAGATGTACTTGCAAGTCATGAAAATTAAGCCATAGCCATATAAAAGTAACTTCCTATAATAATTATACTCTCAGATATATGTATTATCCACATGGGAAGATTGTAAGATAGGTAGATGGCCCTAGGTACTTTTTCTGACTAAGACCTTCTACTTCTATAGGCATTTCTGATAAGGTGAATAACTCGGTTTTCCTTCAGCATCTTCTATTACATTAGACTAGTGTACATGGTATAAAATAACCATCTAATACTCTCCGTATTGGAATTCTTCAACTCCACTGTATAACACTAGTGCCTCTCTCTCTCTCTCTCCCTCCCTCCCTCCCTCTCACTCTGTCTCTCTCATAACTACTGCTTTACTTTCTCTAAATCTTAAATGTTAATGTCTTTTCTAAATCCCCAAGAACAGTAGACTTTATGAGATTCTGTGAGATGCCTCCTTCAATCTGTCATTACCTCTGGGACAGAAGATGCACAATAACTTATCAAACACCAGGAGGCGCATTATGGTTGAGAATTAATCTCACTTTTGTGTCATGTATTTTACTATTTCAGGCGAGTCTGTGGTTTGGGGTTGTTGAATTGTTGTTTGAAAAAAGGTTATTTAGGTAGTTCTCACATATGGCCACAAATATGACTGAAACTTCTATTTCTAAGTGCTCACATTCAGCGAGTCATGCCTAGCTTATGACTTTTTTGCTGAAATACTTAAGCAAATCACAAAATTGTTAAGCAAATCACAAAATTGTTAAGCAAATCACAAAATTGTTAAGCAAATCCAGCTCCCCCCATTGACTTTGTCTGTTAGAAGCTTTCTGGGAAGATTGTAAAAGGAATTCATGTGACCTCAGGACATTGCAAATGCCCTAAATGCATGCTGGTTGCCAAATTTTGATTACATGACCATGGGGCACTGAACAGTCAAATTCAAGGACCAATCATAAATCAGTTTTTTCAGCACCTTTGTAACTTCCAAGGGATCATAAGGACTTCCCATATCTACAGCTGTGCAAATAGTTATGATGGAGATTAAAGTGCAAGACAACTTCATTAAAAAGAACCAGGTGATTGAACTGGAGAAAATTTATTCTAATTGATGGATTGAGTGAGACACCTCTGCACAGACACAAAGGCATATTTTCCTAAACCAAATCAGCAGTCAGAATCAAATCAAACCAATGTCATGTTTCAGTTTGAAGTTTTAAATCAAATTGGAATCAGTTTTCTGATTCATATTATTCAATGTACAAATTCAATTGTATCATTGTAAAATCTGACAAGATTTCCCATTGGCATAATCTGAATTTTCCTCTTTTCTTTTATCATGTGAAACCTGGAATGGTTCCATTTTGGGAAATTCCAGATATGTCACCTGATCTTATCCGTGACATAAAATCTGACTCTGGGTTGCGAAGAAGTTGCTCATCTCCATTTCTTAGCCAAAGGAGCCAGCATTTTTTGAAGAATGTCAGCGGTCCTGTGACCAGCATGATTATATGCTGATGGACATAGAATTTTGTTACTTTCCTACCAAAGTGATACCTATTTATCTACTTGCACTTCCATTCTTTCAAACCCACTAGGTGGGCAGGAGCTGGAGCAAGAAATGGGAATTCACTTCCATTTCTTATGCAGCACTCGGGTCTCAAATCCGGACTGTCAGCTTTCCAGCTGACAAGCTCAGCATCTTTAATAGTCATGGGTTATCACATGCCTCTTCTCTGAGTGTTGCAAGTTCCTTCTTGTAAATTTAAATGTAACATTTTTATGGCAAAGGCTCTGATGTAACTTTTATAAATAAACGTTACTTATCTATTTATTGAATTTATACACCACCAAATCTCTTGACTCATATCAGCAACTGACAGGATAAGCCAAATCCTAAGGTTGATTTTGGATGCTCAGAACCTTTTTTTTAAGCTGAGAAGGCAAACACAAGCAGAGTGTACAGTCTTCACTTTCTTTTCTTCATATATTCACATTGTGGGAGATTGTGGGAACCTTCCTTGTCAGCAGGCATTTCATTGTACCTCTCACCAATTTGATCCATCAAGACTGCAGAATACAGCAAAATTCAAGAAGGAAGCATTGGATCAGATGAAAAGCTTTCTCTGTTTGGACCTCTTCATTATTATTCACTTTTTTATTTGAAGGTGTGAAAACGGGATCATTGAAAAAGACTGCACCCCAACACAAAACACGGTTTGTGGAAAAAAAGATAGCGCAAAAGGTAACTTGATTTGATTAATGAACAATGTTTAATTAATGCTCCAGAAAGGAAGGGATATAAGGGGTAACTGAGGAGGTTGTGGCAGCACAACTACCATGACGGAAACCTCACCTCTTTTTGTGATTCATGTGATGGGTCTTTGATTAATGATTGTAACTTTCATCTTGAGTTTGTTTGATACTCCTCCCTGTTGAAGCCCATGGGAAAGAACCTAATTTGAACGTATGCAAGGCCATGTTTCAGCTCATTGAAACTCTTAACAGCTAGTCTGCCCAAAGCACTTTCTCTGCTGTTACTTCCTTTCAGTTCATCTACTTAGCAAGCAAAGGGGACCAGGAAAGTAATGGAGTCCAAAATCAGTTTGTCTCTAAAATTGAATAATATGGTTGGATCTAATCTTGTGCTGGATTAAACCTGGTGTTGGATAGACTTCTGCCAGTCTGAAGACAGGGATGCCTTCCAACATGGCTTCCCACTAAAGACCACTGGAATGACCAGGCAGTGAGGCGAAGGCAGAATTGATCAATTGTTGTGCTGCCTCTTCTCTTTGGATGGAAGCCTGGGTCCTTTATCAATCTTTCCCAGAAGGCATCAAACCCACTCTTCAATATCAGTAAGCGTTGAATAACACTTTGCATAAATAAATGTTTATTGAGGTTCAACCTCCATCTCACCTGCCTTTGATTCCTCTTCTGATCATTGACAATTGCAGAAATTTGGCCCCTCATTATTTTTGCTGAATATTCAGCCTGGGTGAATCGAATGGAAGCAAACAGTTTTGACCTAGTACTCATTTTTGAAACAATTTAAAATCTATTAAGAGTTAAATGACTCTTTCCATGACTCTTTCCATGGTTGTAAGTACGAGGGCTGGTCATAACTCACCTTTTTCAGTGCTATTGTAAGTTCGAACAGTCGCTTGTCAAGGTGATGAACGCCCAAATTTGGATTTCACTAAGTATCTGGATTTTGCAGATACTTGGCCAATTGTCAGAAGAATCACTGTCAAACTTGCTTCATCTTCCAAAGAGTTTGAGTATGTCTATAGAGTTTGAACAACATTATAACTATCTAGGATATGCCTATGAATCATCAAAAATTAGTTCAAGTCAAAAGAGATCTTACCTATAGAACAGGAGTGTCAAAATCAAGGCCTGGGGGCTGGAACCAGCCCTTGGGTTGCTTAGGTCTGGCCTGCAAGCAGTGAAGGATTGGCCCACGGTGCCTCTGCCAGTGAAAATGGAGCTCGGAAGGGCCACTGTTGCAGCCAAAAATGGAGCTTGGGAACCCATTTTCTCTGGAAGAGCACTCAGGCCACCACAAGTACCCCCAACATAAGTGACGTCGAGCTGGCCATGCCCACCCTGACCATGCCCACCCCAGCTCCCTGAGGTCAAACACAACCCTAGATGAAATCAAGTTTGACACCCCTGCTATAGAATGTATACTATCACTACTATATGTCTGTTCAGCACATAATTGGACATCAGCATGGGATTAGCAAATGCTCATGGTTTGAAATGGTAGTATAAATGGGTAATTAATTATACCATTAGTCCTTGACTTAGAACCTTGACAAGTGGCTGTTCGAACTTACAATAGCACCGAAAAAGGTGAGTTATGACCAGTCCTCGTACTTACAACCAGCATAACATGCCCACAGTCACATGATCAAAATTTGGGCACTTGGCAGCAGCCTCTCAGATTCATATGACTGCCATTTGTGACTCTCCCAGATGGCTTCTGACAAGCAAAGTCAATGGGCAAAACCAGCTTTGCTTAACGTCTACATGATTCCTTTAACAACTTCAGTGTTTTGCTTAATGCAAAACTGATCAATTCATTTTACAACCCCCTTGCTTAGCAACAGAAATTCTGGCCCCAAATTCTCTCTGTAAGTCAAGGGCTACCTGTATTCTGTTTCATTCAAAGGAATGTTGACAATTCTGCCAGGTGTGGTTTCTGTTTCCATTTTTAGCACTGCATTTGTTGCTTTGTTTAACAGAACAGATTCAAAAACCTGCACATTGACCCATATGGATTGGAAAATGTGATGTTATTCAATATTCTTCTTCACAGACGATTTGCGATGGCTTTGGTTAATTCTGCTTCTTGCAGTGATTGTGGGACTGATTTTATGGTGGTGCTGTTGTAAGTGGATATCACTTTCCTTTAAAAAATGCAATATAAATTTTATTATTATTTTAAGTCAGCAAATATGCAGAGGAACAACTATCTCCCAAAGCTTTCATCCTACATTTAAAATCCAATTGTTTCAACAATTTTGGAAGTCAAGGTTCTTCTTTAAGGTAGAGAAAAAATTCTTATCTTGGACAGCAAATTGAAGGGAATCCAAGAATATTGTCTACTCGCTTTATCCTATCCTTTGGCATCACCTGATTTAAAAGTATGGTCCCTTATGGAATGAATAGAAGATTTATCATGGCAGCATTTGAATCAACTGTCAGATCTGCCTGCACTTTATCCTCTAAATAGAAATGATCCTTGGCTCCATTTGTTGAGAAAGATTTTAATTTTATTAGTAGTCAAGTGTATTGCAGTATGCCAGAACTGAGAATTGCATGCCCAAATCCCGAAGTTCAACATTTCCTTCCCTTAACTGTCTCCTATCGCTGATCCACCCCGTAACCAATCAGGTTCAACCACTTCAAGCATAAGTTGGTATTCAGCTGCCTTCTTCTCCCAGCCCGGTGACTTTGAAGCAGTGTCTCAGGCAGATACAGCAGTTACTTTCTCTTTCCCTCAAGAATTCTCCTTCCCATCCACCCTCGCCAAAGCTCATGGCAGACTGTCACTGCCTGGTAACAAAGTATACCAGCACCCATATGTGGCAGCAGATATTTGCTTGAAGGCAAAATTTGGGTCAGATACTTGTTGCTCCTATTCTACCAGCTCTCATGTTTGTATACCTTTATTGTGTCAAGACTACACCAACCAGATTTTGTAGCTTGTGCATTAAATAAAAGATGGAATTAGATACAGACAACATCCCTAAAAAATAGGAGTCAACCATAAGCTCCTTGTCAGGCACTGGCAACTTGAGATCCCAGTGCCATATACACCATCTCAGTTCTATGTTTGGGTGCCTCTTCCAACATCCTTTTTGAGCATCCTGCCATTTTAAGGTGTCAAATAGAAGTAAATTAAAAGTAAGTTTAAGAAATCCAGTCATCATAAATTCCAGAAATTTCACATGAAATTACTGCATTTCATACTTAATATAAGCACATTCCTAATATGCCATTTCTGGTTATTTGAGGACTGTCTAGAAAATAATTCTTTGTGTTCCTTTGTAGGTCCAGGGTACAGAATTCAAAGGAAGCGAAATCAAAAGGGCCCTAACGATGAATCATATGTGAGTCTCCTTTTTTGAAGTAATCCAGAGAACTAAGAAGGGTGATAGAGACTAACCCAAGGCATTGAACCAACAAGTACATAAAAGTTTCTGTCGAGCTCCTAATGATAGTAATAGTGTTTTTCCACTGCTAATGCTTCCTTGTGGTTCTTATCTTTAAATTGCCCAGTGGTTTGGGGAGGAGGTTTCCTCCAGATATCCTTACTAATCCTTGAGGTAAGGTATGAGACCCGCTTAGTAGAAATGATCATCTGTGCAGGGACATCTACTGAAGGGTCAAAAAGTCAAAATCATTGCTATGACCATGCTATCTAAGTGCCCCATAAAAATAACATGGGTCTCCATACACATCCCAAAACTGTAATACCCTTTTCTTTGTCAAGAAAAGAATGGGTTCTGTCAGACATTGAGAAAATTTTGAACTACATACTGTACCTACTATGCCTGTATGCCTGTATGTATGTATGTATATGTATGTATGTATGTATTTGTTTTTTATTTGTGTGTTTATTTATGTATTTAAGCAATGAGTTTGTTTTTTTAACTTTGCTGCTTGTTTTGTTCAATGATGTGACATTTTAAGGCCATAGTTATTATTTTGAATTTTGTTTCTCATTTACTTGTGCATTAGTAACCTCATTTACTTATGGGTAAGAGATGTGTGCATGCATAAAATAGGATGCCAGAAAACAAAATAGAGACCTTAACTTCAGACATTTTGTCTCTGCTGGGACAGTCCTGACTTAAAATTATTCCTGAATGTAAACTAGTACTTGTTTCAATAAACTGTTCCCGTCTGTAGAGATTCTTGTTGCTTATTTACTTTCCTCGCCACAAATTGAAAATTAATTTGATTAAAAAGAGAAGTCATCAGTTGAACATAATGGGTACAGGCCAATAAACACACATGTGGAAATCTGATGAAATGGATGGGAATGAAGTATAATTGTTAAATGTTTTCAATTTCCTGTGAATTCAAAGCCATCCCTTATTTGATAATGTTTGGTTACATCAGGACCCATCTCCTTTATTACAAAGAATAAAATCAAATTCAATCCATATATGCTGCTTTTGCTGAAGTGTTCTTTAGATATGATAAGAAGCTTCACCGTTTGGGAGCAAAAGGTATATTTTGCCTCGTGTTAATAAAAAGTGCCATTTGCTTTACAGAATTTGCACTAAGGAATATTGGAAGATGCTTCTTCATATTCTTTCTTGTCTGTTTTTCTTTAACCTTTTTCCTTTTCTTGCACCTTTCCCCTTTTCTTTGATTTCTTCTTCCTGACTTTCTATTAATTTATGTTAGCTTCAATTTTCTGGTTTAAAAGTTTTAATAAAAATTAAATATTGAAAAAAAAAGAAAGCAAAGCTTGGTGGTGTGAATTTGGTTCATCTTTTTTTAATTGTTTCCTTTTAGGAACTTAAGAAAATTGAGTATCCAGGTACGTAAAAAACTAAAACACAATCGTTGCATTATATATATATATATATATATTTATATGCTTCTCTGCTTGGGCTTTATTGGGCTATAGTAACAGCTCAGTTATGTCATTCTACCTGTTGTTTTGCATGCACAGTGAGAGTTTCTACACAAGAGACAAATCCTTGTGTGTCCAATCACACTTAGGCAAATAAAGTATTATATTGTATCATATTGTATTATACTGTACAGAGTGGCATTCTACTCTACTTCTATTCTATTCTGTTAACATTTGCTCTGTACTGAATGGTCTTTCATTGATGCAAAATGTAGTAATTGGGTTGTTCGTCCCACTTAACTTGACTAGGGCTAAAGGTCTAGTAATGCTTTGCTAGAATCTCACGATTCTATTGATTTTTTCCAATCCAAGTTTGCTATTCTAGCTTGATAGAGGCAAATAACTCTAGCATTAATTGGTTTCCACTTTCTTTCCAAGTTCAATTAATACATGGCTTGTGGTGACCTTCTAATATAATTTACAACTTGGGACCAGATGAACCCAAGGGAGAAGTCCTTCCGAGCCCTAAATGAATTGGCTGGCTTGCTAAATTTGACATTGCAGTTCTTCCATGGACATGGCTACTCTTCTTGGTATTCTTAATGTTCTAGGCTCTAGAATTTGCTCCAGATAAAGCATTTGCTTCCTCTCAACTATCCCACTGAGCAAAGTATGAACCACATGCAGCATCTAATACCCATTTTGCAGCTCAGCAAAGATTATCAAAATTTTCTCTCCTTTCACTGACATTGTCTTGCTAAATGCCATTCTCATTTCCAGATCAGATCTAGAAAGAAAGCTGCACAGAAAGTCGCATCCAATATAGCTTTCAAGTTTGTAATCTTGCACAATGTTATTTATTGAACACATGGGAATGCTATATCTAGGCCTTTGCTGCAAATATTCTATTATTCAGTTGCCTCTGATACTTCATTAGCTGATAAACATTATTTCAAAAGTATTTCTGTCAGAGACTGCTTTGAATTCTTTTAAGCTCATTCTTCAGCCGTCAGTGACAGTATCTAGCTACTGTCCTTTATTGGGTATTTTAAAAACTGCTGTTGGGTCTTCTCTAATAATTATTAGCTTGCATTGGGTTTTTGGAAAATATTTAAGCTTTTGTTTTATAGCTTTATTACCCATTTTCTCCAGCATTAGCTTTGTTGCTGCTACTATTGTTCATCTTTCCTCATGGTCTAGTTTCAACAGCTATATGTTACATTTGCAAAAATCATGGCCTTAACAATACATTCTTCTTCCCTGCCCCAAAAGTGTTTGTTATCTATACAAGTTTTAATATTAATTAATGTTAACATCTCCACTGTATTTATACTCTATGTCACAGGTGTCAAACTCTTGGTGTCACATGATGTATCACAACATTTTTTTCCCCTCTGCAGAGCCGGGGTGGACGTGGCCTGCATGTGAAATGTCTGGCCCGCAGCCTGCCAGTTTGACACCCGTGCTTTTGTTCTCATTCTCTCTCTCTCTCTGTGATAATAAAAAGAAAAATAGACTAATGGAGCAAATTTAACAAGGATTAAAATACCACAAGTAGAGAAAGAGAAAAGAAGAACATTAAAAAAAACCTGAATAGTTTTCTAACTTCTCCTTTTTCTATGTCTGCTAATTTGCAATATTTGTAGACATTTAGAACCCCTTAGAAGCTAAACTGTAAGAGATTATATTGGCTATGCTGTGTGATACATTCTATGTTTGGGAACCATTTTTGTTTAAATTTAGCTAAATATATAGCCATAAATACCTTGGTTGTTAGAGTGATGTCTTTTCACTTCCTTATGTCTATGGATCACACTTAAAATTGATTGAAGACAATGTTTTTACTCATTTGTACATCATTGATTATCATAATTGCATGCTGTTCTTATTTTCCTTTGCAGATATTAACTGGAAGCCTCACATTCCTGAAATTGTATGTAATATGGAAGTGAACCAAGTCAGAAAGCTTGTTCGGAAATTGGGTATTTGTACAGCTCAAATCGATGAGATCTCCCATGACAATGTACACGATTCTTCTGAACAAAAAATAAAATTACTGGAACGTTGGCACGAAATGCATGGGATAAAAGGTTCTCTTCAGACTTTAACCACCAGTCTGAAAGAACTTAAATATTATGATGCAGTTGATAAAATTAATGAACTAATTGAGAGAAAATTGAGCCATCCAGAAGATTAAAAGAGGTAATCTTTAAAATGCTTATCAAAATGTAAGGCTTTTCAGATAAAAGCCACAGTTGTGTTAATTTTTTTAATTATTAAATTTATATGCTACCCATTTCATGATCAAGCAACTCTGCTACTCTTATGTAGTAGGACTGATTCAACAGATGGTTCTTTGGGGAATGGACCTCACATTCCCATTTTTTTCAGTCCTCTATCTGAAAAGAAAAACTTTTGTTTTGTTTTCCAGATGACACTATGTGATCAGATTGGACTGTTTATGTTGACATGGCATATTTCGGCATGCATAACATCAGCAACAGGACTAGTTGATACAGCGGACAAACGTCCTTCAAAAATTACACTTTGCTACCTCAGGCGTTCTTTGTCAATTGCAATATCACTGCTTTACCAGAACATAAGACATTACACAATTCACAAAGGACTTCTTCTAATTGAAGTATGATAGTGTGGTGTGTAGGCAAACAAAATAACCTCCACAAAACTTTTGCTGGTGGCACATTGATCATGTTTCAGCAGGGGGCAGTGTCTGATTACAGGATCGTGTCTGGGCTCAGAATCTATGTACAAAGATGGAAGATCTCCAGTGATGTAGACCAGGGGTCAGCAATCTTAAATACTCAGAGCCATTTGGAGCTGTTTCCCACAGAAAACACCAGGAGTCACAAAACCCTTCCCATGCTTGACTATTTCCTGAGTGGCCACAAAACTAGCATCTGTACTTGAATTAAACATTCTGTTTTCTTCTGAAGCTTTTATTTTCTTGGATTTATTCATGGTTGGCCTACTGGGGTCAAAAAGCTCAATAAATCATGCGCCGGCAGGTGTCATACATTGGCAGTTGTGACACACATTTTGAGTGATGGAGCTGCAGCTGAGGGATGAAAGAGCCACATGTGGCTCCAGAGCTGTGGGTTGCTGACCCCTGAGGTAGACCATGGTTGTCAACCATTTCTTCATCACAGAGCCCCTTTAAATAGCTTTTGTGTCCATGGACCATGGCCAGGACCCCCAAAACTTAACTCAAGATTTAAATCATAATATTTCCTCAAGCCTTCTCAGACCCCCTACGATGAAGTCAAGAGAGGTCCACGGTCTACAACTTAAGAACCACTGATGTAAACTAAACTAGGAAGTTTTTAAAATCCAGCAAAAGGGCAATTGTAAACTGCTTTTGTACTGTTGCTAAGCATATGCTACATGGTTATGTTCATGAATTCAACAACAGTTGAGCTAACTTGAAAAAGCCTAGCTTATTCCCTTATAAAATGCTTTCTCTGCAAATAGTACCATTTCTGGTATTATCCATATACTTCATGAATTTTAAATATCTGGTTTTAAAAAAGAAAATCATCTTTAGTTCCAGTTCCTGCTGTTGAAATGTTTATTTTTGTATAGTTTTGTTTGGTGTCATGGTAGGCTTTGCACAGAAAGGATTCTATAACTGAGTAGATATTAACAAAAATGAATGAATGTAGAGCTGTAGTGGCACAGTGGTTAGAATGCATTATTGCAGTCTAATTCTGCCAACTGTCAGAATTTCGATTCTCACCAGCTCAAGGTTGACTCAGCCACGCAAGGAGTCTAAACTCGCAAGTCTTTTCACTCCTCTCTTCACTGGAGCTGGAGATTCCATAATACTTTAGGATTAATTTATCTGTGGAAAATAAATTTTGGTATATATATTATTGGCGTATAAAATTAAATATTTCTCATAGGATGTCAGCACTTCAAAATAGTCCAGATAGAAGCCAAATTTATGATGCAATTTTATTACTAATGCAATTTTATCATAAGTTGTACTATGCACAACTAAGTTGTACTATGTACAACTAAGTACAATATACATAGTTACAATAACAGAATACTGCAAGTCTGGGTTTAAGTGTTTTATTAGTTTATCAAAATCAAAATGTAAAATACAGAAATAAAAAGAAAAATGAAAATAATGGGAAAATAGGAGGAATGGGGAGAAAGGAAGCAATGTAGATAGTGGGAAAGGAAAAAGAAAAGCTTCGACTTCCAACTCCCTTTGTGCAATAGAATAAGGTAATAACATAAGTTTATATTCTGTGGTGCAGTGGTTAGAATGCAGTATTGCAGGTTAATTCCGCTGGCTGTGAGCAGTTCGATCCGCACTGGCTCAAGGTTGACTCAGCCTTCCATCCTTCCGAGGTCGGTAAAATGAGCCAATTGTTGGGGGCAATATGCTGACTCTATAAAACGCTTAGAGAGGGCTGTGAAGCACTGTGAAGTGGTATATAAGTCTAAGTGCTGTTGCTATCAGTATGTCTTGAAATATATACCTCTGCAGCTGGGATCACATTATGGTTGGATTGACACAACATGCTTAATTTGATTTCACAAGTAGCCCATTTTCTAGATTGCACAATATATTGAAGCATAAACTAGCCTGGGTTAAAATAACCAAGGCTTGCACCCCACATGAAACCACACAAAAAATCTACCACACATTAAAACTAACCACGTTTAATATGTGGAGCAAATATAGCCATTATGTTAGTTAATGACTTGGTTAAGCATGTTGAACAAATACATACTAAGCAGATGTTGTATTAGACCTATGTATAAAATCTTCACAGCTATATAAGTGCTCAGAAAGGCATTCTGAAAACTAAAAAGAGTTAAAGTCCCTCCCATAGCAGCTACTGAAATTCAATTGCCAGCAATTCGATTCTCACCACTCAAGGATAACTCAGCCTTCCCTCCTTCCGAAGTCAGTAAGATGAGGACCCAGATTGTTGGGGGCAATATGCTGACTCTGTAAAACCTCTTAGAGAGGGCTGTTAAGAACTGTGATTCTGTAACAACAAAGCTATCTGATCAGCAAAACCCAAAATCAAAGTTTCATTTTTCCCCTCCAGTTCAAGCACAAAGTCCAAAAGAGGTTTCCAAGTGGAAACAAACGTAATTGTATTCTTTTCTTTAATCAAAACTGTCAATAGAATCTTGCAAGTCTGGAAGCACATTCTGTCCCTGTTAAGTATGGTCGGTGGGTCCCATAAGAACGAGGCTTGAGTAGTGAACAAACAGCTCTTTATTTAACAGGAAGAATTCTGAGACAAAAACCCTAGCGCGCGGCAGCTCTTCTTATAGAGCCAGCCGTGGCTAGGCAGCCAATGACAGTTCTTTGAGTTTGCCGCGCTTGGTTGTAGCCAATCGCGGCAAGCCCTATACAAGCCAATCAGGGGTGTTTAAGACGTCCAATCACGGTCCGGCTTTTCTGGACCAATAGGAATGCAGGTCTTCAAGCCGGCTAATATGGAACAGTCCCCTTACCTTTATTTTCCAGGGAATCCCTTCTAAGATGCTTCTATTACTTCTGTGGGCTGAGGTGCCTCTTATCTGATTGTTGCCCTAGCTTCAGCTCTTCCCCCTCCTTTTTCTCAGGGATATTCCCACAGAAAATTACAGAGGACAAAGAGCCCCTACCTCTTTCTTGATGGTTGTGATAATGGGCACTGATTAAGTCTTTTGTAAAACAGAGTTCTAGCACACTTGATTTTTCTTATGTGTTATGTCAATATTTCTCTAGACAACCACAAAATAAAAATGCCCTTCTTTACTCTCCCCTTCCTTTCATAAAAACTGAACTCCACTTGTATTTGCCTTGTGCAGTGAACTACATCTCTGTGCATCATGATAGATTCATGCCCTGGCCTGAAATAGATTCAGAGCTGTGTGCTGTAATTTCTACATGGAATTTCCCTATCAATTAACTGGTCTTAAAATATTTTGTTCAAAGAAAAAAGAGCTTTGATGTATGACTCATGCCATCTGATCTCACAAGAGCCATTTCAGGTAGAAGAAATAAGTTTTCTATACTTAATAAACATTCACAGAGGGGAAAGTTGTGAGAATCACTTAGATATTGTGTCTATCAATGATTTCTTATAAAACTGGAGCTTCAATTTGGCGCCACAAAGATCAATCCTCAATCTCATAGTCTTTTTTTTTCTGTTGGCCTAAACCAGGAGTGGGGAATTATGAGACCTTTACAATGTGTTGACCAGCTCCCAGAATTCCATGCTGGCTCAGGAATTCTGGGAGTTGAAGTCTACAAGTCACAAAAGGGTCATAGTTCCCCACCTCTGGCCTAGACAAAGAGGTGGAAGAAATGTTTACCAATCTTCAAGTAACAAAAGCCGGGTGGGAGCCTTAAAAGTCGGTGGGTGGGAATTCCAAACAATCTTGATATATTACAAAATAGCCTGAAAATAACAGAATGAAATATTGCTGAGACAAATGCAAAGTTATGTAGTTAAGATACAGAATTCAAATATGCTGGTATGAAGTGGGAGATAGTTGACTTGGGGATGATACTTGGGAATATATAGAATATACACTAAACTGCAGACTGATGTGGCTACGGGGAAAATGAAATTATGGACCAAATTGTCTACAGTGTAGTTTCCAAATCTCAGGAAATAATTGTTTCACTTTATTCTGTGTCAGTCAAGGTCTACTTTGTGTCTTGTATTCATTTTTACCGTGCTTTAAGAAGATTTCAGAGAAAAAAGGAACAGGTTTAGAGAAAGGTCATAAGAAAGAATGATCAGGAAAAAGGAAGTCCTCTCGTGAATTTCTGAGTTCCATTCTTGTTGGTTGTAATAAAACCTCCTTGGCTATGAAGTCAGATGGGAAGACTTGAGAATGATTAAGTCTTGAAAAATGAAAATGAAGGAGCGGAGTTCGAACACCTGAAAAGGATTGAACAAGATTGAGAACTTTCTGCAGGGCAGCTCATTTAAATTATAGGCGTGGAGTTTCCAAATGTACTTTAAAAAAGTCTTTCTGAACTAATTATGCAGAGAGGTTTTGGATGCGTAGCTCAACAGATAGCATTAGACAAACAATGTAATAATAAGTGCTAACACATCATGGTGATCAATCTTATTTTTACAAGGAAACGTTTATTAGAATAAAAGAAAACTGACACTTCCTGTTCTAAGTAAGAAGCATAGAAGTCTTCAACAGAGAAAATGATTCACTAGGGGAAAAAAAAACAAAAAACCCGGAACTATGTTGCAACATACCAGCAATTCAGCATTCCTTTTGGAGAGCGAAGCTGCTCTTGATGAAAACACAAAAATGGAAAAATCATTAAGAATTCCCCTCGCCCCGCCTCCCGTGGAGTTGGACTCAGATTCCACCCAGAGAGTTACAGATGCTGACAAAAGGAAACATGTCCATGAAGATTATCAGTCATCCATATGTAGAGTTACCTGGAAGTTGAGTCATGTCAACTGGATTACTTTCCTTTTTGGTTTGAAACGTTTTGCTGCTTGTCCAAGCAGCTTCTTCAGCCTGCACAAGTTGGTCAGGGGGACACCATAGATGTCCTCCAGAATGGTTTCATTCCTCACTTTCCCAATCTTTTCTCCTAGGTTGGATTGTAACGGGAACCTGTGAACTGGTCTTGATCTTCCTGGAGACTGATGCAAGAGCAGCATAAAAAAATGGGGGAGAGGTTGTGTCTGATGTCTTCACCACCACTACAACTCCTCCTCCTCCTCCTCCTCCTCCTCCTCCTCCTCCTCCTCCTCCT